GCCAGGGATAGACCTTCTAGCAGGGGTAGGGTTGTAAGACTAACAACAAATCCCACGGTAGTTATCGTCCGGGACAGGTAAACTGCATGCGTGACGGACCATACCGATTGTGAAACTAGATGTGTGCATGCAAGCCCGCCCCCCCCCCCCCCCCACTCCGGAGTCGGAATGGCCGCATGCGTGTCACCAAAATGTCAGGTAAAGGGGTACTTTTTACGCACCAAAGTCCGGCTCGTACATACACAAAATTGACTTTACACACCGGACTTAGGGGGTGTTTTCAAAAGGAGGGAACACGCGTACCCTAAATAACACTGAGTGGGGGGGGGGGGGGGCGGGTATTCAAGCTACTTATAGCTATCTTTTACCCCAGTTGCACCGAAAAGATCGATACCAGAGCCAGGCGCGGATCCATGGGAGGGGGCCGACAGGCCCGCCCCCTCTGGCAAAAGAAAAGTCGGGCCCCACCCCTGGCCCGAAACAAGATGGTAACCACACATTTACCTTTTTTAGGGGGTTTGGTTGATTTAGTGCTCACACTTTACCCACCCCCTCCTCACTGAGCAAAAATAACGGTATGTGCGATTTTCAAATTTCCGGAGGCAATATTCTTTTTATAGTGCTCACTACCCCCCCCCCCCCCCCCCCCCCAATGGAAAATCCTGTATTGGCCTGATCAGAGCCCTGTCATATCAACTGTTGCGATCGATTAATCGCAACTGATTTGCTTTTGAAATCAGGCGCAAGTACGTACATGAGAGATAGGAGAAGGCAAAATAGCTATTGATTAGAGGACTTGCGCTTGATCCGAAATAGTCCACTGCCTGGACTGTTCTCTTCATGATCCGTGCGCGCTCACATATTACTAGTACACCATAATATACACGTACGGAAACAGAGCCTGAGAAGGTGAATTGGTGGGGAGTACGCATTTCATAAACGCGCGCGCATTTGGGAAAGGGCGAAAGATTAAAACGACCATCAGCTGGTCTAGATCCGAAACAATCGCAACTCTTTATAAGACGGGGGCCCAGAATTACCCCGAATTACCAAGAATCGTTCGGTGTAGATTCAGTTTGAAGTCGGTTTGGCGGTGTATCTGGGGTATATGGATGGTTTGATCCAGGTTCATTGGGGAATGAACTATTGCGGGGGAGGGGTATGACTCACAGATTTCAAGGTCATTTTCTCATTGTATTCTAATAATAGTATTTTTCTTCTTTTTCTTTCCTTTTCTTTTTAAAAATACAGCAGTGGAGCGATGTGTCGGCCCTTACCTTTGAATACACGGCAGACCCGGCTAGTGCAGACATTGTCATTAGCTTCGTCTCTGGTGACCATGGAGATAGCTACCCTTTCGATGTGACTGATGTAGCGCATGCATTCGTGCCTTTCGACCTTTCAAATCCCATCGCAGGCGATGTTCACTTAAATGACGCAATAAGTTGGGGTTGGTTTGTCTTGTAGACATGTAACACTATTTAATGATGGAAAATGAAGTGCTTGTGTTAAAAAGAGCTGTATATCCCACGATCAAATTGAACGAAACTCGCTGGCCCGAATTCACAAAGGAGGTTTGTCGACAAACCTAGGTTTACGTGCATCATATGACGCGTTTTAACGCTTTTTTTTTTTTTTTTTTTACAAACCTGGCTTGTAAAAACGCGTCAAAACGCGTCATATGACGCACATAAACCTAGGTTTGTCGTCAAACCTCCTTTGTGAATTCGGGCCACTGTGTATAATGATTTTTGTAATAAAATATCTATATAATGAAGTTCGAAAGTTCTCTCTTGAATCACTATCTTACTATTCATATAATTTATATAATGTTAATTTATTATGGGAAAGTTATAGTCGGTGTAAAAAGCGAAATCACACAAATTTTAACAAATTTCCGAGCCCTTTCCTCGCAATTATAACGTATAGGACCCCCCCCCCACACACACACACACAAAAGAAGGGGGATACTTCCCTGAATATGTTTCAGTTAAGATTTTCAATATATTAATCGAAGTTAACGATAGTTGCCATTATTTTGCCATTTGATCACTGGATCACCGCTTTGTATTGGATAACTGTTTTATTCAATTTGCAATGAAAGAGATAATGCAGATAGAAAATCCAGTGTTAACATTCAGATATTTAGTATTCAGAAGAATACTTATTCGGAGAGTTACACACAAGATATTTCATTGAATGGTTCACTGTATTTCTTGCCGAAAATCCAACCAAAAAGTAACTCTATGATGTTCAGAGCACAAGCATGTGCACTGTGCACATACTAGGCGCGTACGCAGGGGAGGGGGGTTACCCCCCCCCCTTTGGTAATTTTATGTATGTAAACCCCCCTAAAAAAACCTAAAATCCCCCCCCCCTTTTGATTTTTTTTATTTTTTATTTTTTATAAAAAAATATATAAAAAAATGCCCACGGCCGACCTAAAAAAGGTGACCTAACCCCCCCCCCGCTTATTCAGCGGCTGGCTGAGTCGTTGCGAAATTTATAAATGTTAAACCCCCCCCCCCCCCCTTGAAAAAATCCTGCGTACGCGCCTGGCACATACTATCGCCTTAATCCAATAACTTGTCACATACACCTGTCAAAGTGACTTTCACAACTGACCTAAATAAATATGCGCAGAAGCAAATTTGACTTCTTTTGCATTCAATCTACCTTGCTAACTAACTGTTGCTTTTTTCAACTCAGCCAAAATGAGAATTGTTCAAACTTGTAAATCTCCTTTCGTCCTCAAGACATTCCATTTTGTGAATGACCCTTATATAATAGCAGTGATCTACTTTTTGCAAGCCAGATTTCATGGATGGTGAAATTAATTATTACTCTTAAAACCAATCTTGGTTTCCTTGATTTTTAAGTAAATAAGCTATAATCAAATATCTCACTCCATTTACACTCACTTCTAAATTTATGTGTGCAATACTTTGTTTCTCTGCGTTAAATTTCCACTGAATTTACGGCCTTTTCTTATTAAACAACAACAACTTACATTTGACCGATAGACTTAAAGTCTTAACAGCACCAGTAAACACAATGCAACTGTGGCAATTTTGAGCTAATTTTAGTCATATTTCGCACTTGAGGGCATTTTTTTTAAGGAGTCATTATGTTCTGCTATTATGTTTACGATATGACTTACAAAGAATGAGAAAGTTCACCAATTCTTTTTCATCTTCTTTTTTAACAGAAAATACTGACTCTTTGTTGGTTTATGTGATACTGCATGAATTGGGCCACAGTCTAGGTTTGAGCCATTCTCAAGACACTAATTCCCTGATGTTTCCATACTACGATGAACGATTACTCCAAGATGATGACATAGCCGGAATCCGTGCTCTCTATGGTGAGTTGTTCGAATTCCTAAAGGGAGACCCAACCGTAAACGTCAACGTCTGCTCGATTTCATTTGTGAAATAAAACACGGCGCAGCAAGCACCCCTAACGAGTCCAAAGCTCATGTAGCTACCGCAATACCACAGTCACACCGACGAGACCGACACCACACCAAACACGAAAGGCCCCGAATCGGTCGGTTTGGAGTCCGTTTGGTGGTGTGACTTGTACCTATATAAGCCGCTAATGCCTAGATCACATTTGATCTACGCACGCGCGTACGCAGTGGGGGGGGGGGGGGGGGGGGGGGGTTAGGGGTTGAACCCCCCTTTCAGTTTTTTTTATGTGTGTATTTTGGAGCAACCCCCCCTTGTATTTTTTTGTATTTTTTTTGTATTTTTTATTAATACAAAAAAATTATGCCAATAGCTGACCTAAAAAGGTGACCTTACCCCCCCCCCCCCAACGGAGCAAAATGTCATATTTCCAAATTTCGAGACCCAAAAAAAAGTGTTCTCTTCCTCTTACCCCCCCCCCCCCACCCGCTTATTCATTATTCATTTCTAGGTTCACTGTAGCGATTAGACACGCCGTAGAGCGGTTCCAAGGCGACCGTACGTCGGGCATATGGTAGCCTTGCGTTATATTTACTCCAGGGGTGAAGCGGTAGCATCATGCAGCCTTGCCGCACGGTCGCCTTATGGTTCCCCTTCGGCCGCCTTGTGGCTACCTTGCGTCTGCCTTAGTATTAATTTGTCAAAAGGCTACAGCCGCCGCAGGGACGCCCTAAGGTGACCGTGCGTCATTATTTCAAAGGCCGTACCGTAGTCGCAGATTTTCTGTCTCCACAAATTCAAAATACGCCTTGCGGCTACCCTAACATAATGTGACCGCTACCGTATGCGACCGTGGGAATGCTGCGGCGGTCCTATGATTGCTATTGGCCGCAGATATTTTAGACCGCACGGCTGCGGCGGCAAACGTGACCTATAATGATGCGCCCGACAATTCGAGGCCATCGTAACCAACAGTCTTTTTCAAGACTACACCAACAGTCCTTTTCAGGACTACATACACACCCTCAAGAAAGATTACCGAGAGTCCTTTTCATGACTCCCAATCCTCCCATCTCTCACATGGCGCAACTGCAAGCCTACTGTAAATCTATATCACCATGCAAGCCGATAATTATACGCAGAATCTGATTCTTGCTAGCCATTCTCTCATGGGAGGCGTTTCGGGGGCGTACAGCCGCCGTAACCTAGCCGTAGAGTAAATGTGACCTAGGCTAATTGATAGTTTTGCGATGTTAGATACTCGTAGGTTTATGTGACGTAGGGCATTGCCAAGCACGTATTTGCAGCAATGAGCAAGAAGACCTTCTCATTTGCAAAAGTAGCATGCAGTGCATGCATATACAGTGCAGTGCAGTATAGTGGCACGAACATGAATTAAAATTAAGATTAATACATTTATATATATATATATCCTCTAGTAAACGTTATAGTATTGTCATTATGGGGTGTCCAATAACCATTTCCTTTTGATAAGGCGGATGGGCAAATTATCATCGCCTAGGTGATCTCATGGGCTATAGGCCTACCATCTTACCTCGCCTTCAGCTCGGGAAGAAAGTAGCCCTGAGATCTCCTCTACGATCATAGTTTGTCCCATCGCCAAAGTAGTAGTTAATTATGCATCCACTTCTCATACTTAACGTTAAACAGGGGTAAAGTGTGGTGCACCGCCAGAGGGTGTCAATACGGAGAGTGTCTTGATAGATGAAGGGTCTCCTGGAGAAGAATATACGTACACCTGCATGGCGGGCACTACAGCCACTTCATTGGACCTGTTGGTCGTCTGTGAACAGAACAATACAGCAATTACTGCAAGTTGGTCCCCTGGTCCACCTAATTGCACGACGGGTATGTATAACAGTAAAAATAATGAATAATAATGATATTAATAATAATTATTTTAATAATAATGATAGTAATGATCACGATCCCGCTTGGGAAGCCTCACCATGCAGCTTCAATGCTGTTCTTCATCACCCCCAGCGATTGCCAGGTATTCATTTACACCTGGTTGGAGAGCGGCTAACGCGGATTACCGTCCCAGAAAAAAACGAAACCGAGGATTATCAATGTTTTATCATAACTTAATCAAATTTATAATTAATAAATGACACATATTTAGATTTTGTAAAGCTTAGATCCTCTTTCATTTGATGCAACTCATATGATGCGTATTTCACGCATGAATGATTAAAAACAATTTAAAGAGAGGAAGTTAAAATGTCATTTTTAGGGCGATATCTGACTTTCAAAAAGAAAATCACATTTCTAGAAAGTTCATTTTCTGCCCTTTCATATGACACCTCAATCAGGAAAAATGAGCCAGGAATAACAAAGTTCTGTTGGTTTAAAATTAAAGTAATGCTTGCATTCCCATAATTTGATTAAACGAATTCGTGTTCACTTGAACATATAACTTTCTTCTTTCTCTGTTTTTCTCTGTTTTGTTGTTTTTCTCGTTCCAGTTTGCTTTTTTCCTCTCGATCCTTTTGTATATATTTTCATCCTCTCTTTTTCAAATTTCAAGCTATCCCTTTTGTAAATATTTCCCCCATATTTAATCATGTGTAGTTTTGATAACTTTGAAACATTTTAAAAAGTGATGGACATTGATGGATTATGTTATATGGGGACCTTGCTCTTACAAGCCCAGCTTTTCTAAGGTCTCCACTTTCTTTCATTTGGATTATATATCGACTTAAAATTGCACTTAAATTGTTTTTTCTTCTTTTTTATTATATTATGTAAAAATGTTGTGAAAGAAATAAATAAAATGAAACTTGAACCTTGAACAAATGAGGGGGCATAGCGATTAAAGTTGGAGAAAGGTCGGACAAACATTAAAGAGTTATGAATTTGTTCAACTTCAAGTCGAGGAATTCTAAACTTAGAATTGAATGAATGCCTGTCAACCTATTTTCTACATTGACTCTAGAATCACTTATTAGAGGCAACACTAAAAAACACATATATATCAAGAAACCTACACAAGACGATCAATGAGGTGCTCCCAGAGGGGTGAACGAAGAGCGATTATCCATTTTTTTAGAAAGTATTTGACCCATTTTTTTACGTAAAAAGTCCGACATATTTCTATAATAATTTTGTTCCTTACGACATGTTCATATATACTCCAGATGGTCCGACCACAAAGCAGATGACAACAACGACACAACCGACAACCACACCGATGGCAACAACGACACCACCAAGTATGTTGGCACCTATGTCTAAACTAAGATACGATACGATACCTTTCGCAGGCTACGATGCGAAGTTCGTTTATGTCTGTACATTCGAGACACGGACAAAATACAAACAATTAACACCTGTCACAATCTCAAATCATTCAAAGCAAGTGCCATTGATGATCATACCAATAAATAAGGATAATTAGGGAGATTCACGGAGCCAAAGGGGGCGCCCCTCTGAAGAAAAAAAAAGGATAAAATATTCTCGCCTAAGCTGATCATCCTCCCCTGCTCCCCCCCCCCCCAGGTGGCCCAAAGAAACCTTTAAAGATACGAAGATTGTACATGTCCTTTATTAAAACTCTAGAAAAAAAAAACGAATTCTACTACTATAGCCTACATTAAAAAACATTAAAACATGTACTTAGAGCAATTGTCATTAATGAAAAATCCCCTATTTAGGAGTATAGGTGGACAGGGGAACTAAAGGGGGCCGGTACGGTACCCCCACCTGAAAAGAGGGATATTATTGCGAGGATTATTTTTTTCTTATCCCAGTTTCCCTACTTAGCTAATGTGGGATGGCGGGCAGGATTCCGTAAATTTATCAAGACCCCGCCCGCCAAGCGTTTCTAGGAGGGAAAGCAGGAATTTACAAAATCTTACTCCCGGTGAAAGAAAAAAAAAGAAAGTAAACTTTTGCTCGTTTAATTTCTCACCCTTCTAGGACAATTGGAACATGTGTGTAAAAATCATTTCAAGCACCTGGACTGTACACCGGAAAATGTCGTCATCTGCAGCGCCTTTTACGGGCGGAATAACAGCACCATATGTCCAAGTGACGACGCCAATACCTCCAACATGTGTTTCGAAGATGTTACGGATCTCGTGCAAGGCAGATGGTGCAGAAACAAGCCAAGCTGCTATGTTCATGGGCGAGGTTATCTGCTTGACCACCCATGCCTTTCGAACCCTGAGGCCTACTTGCAAGTCACATACACATGTGGTGCTGGGCAATGTGGTAAGATACTTATAGACCGATTCAGTTTCCATGGTTTCTGAGAGCACTGTAATACCCTGTCTACCATAGCTGGGGGGCATCCAAGAGCATAACAAAATATGATTCAATGTATCAGACAGGTGCATGGCCGTCCTTAAACAAAAGCGGGCACATTTTAAAATATTATTCAGTGTATTTGATGGCTCCAGTAATGATGGTTAACACGTCCATGTTCACCTCTCTAAATAGATCGTAAAAATGCTCTTTTTAATAGCATTATAAACACGACAGCAATTCTGGGCCATGGGGTAGCTAAGTTATCCTTATTAAGAAATCAACCACGGGGGAGAAGTCACCTTGAGCACCAAACATCATCTGCGTAATTCACTTTCTGAAAGGCACCCTCAACGAGGATCGACATCTAGAGTAGTTGCTTGATACCCTTTGAGGTTACTATGTCCCATTTGCAGGCCAAACAAAATGAAAATGTGACTTAAAGGTAATAACAAGTTTTGGGAAATTTTGAAAATTATGTGGAGAGTGATTCTTTATAATTTTGATATGTTTGGATGCCCATGTGGATGTATTATATGCACTAGAAAATTTAGCCCCTAAAACACTTCTGCTTTCGAGAAAAATGGAATATAAAAATTTACCGGTACTCCCGGTAAACTTTGATAAATTTCAAATAGCGCCTATGGCCGTATTATGGTAGCTGCGACCATGAAAATCTCAGAAAATGTAGTTGTGATATATAATTTTCTTTTTTTCTCTGTTTTGTTGTTTTTCTCGTTCCAGTTTGCTTTTTTCCTCTCGATCCTTTTGTATATATTTTCATCCTCTCCTTTTCAAATTTCAAGCTATCCCTTTTGTAAATATTTCCCCCATATTTAATCATGTGTAGTTTTGATAACTTTGAAACATTTTAAAAAGTGAAACATTGATGGCTTATGTTATATGGGGACCTTGCTCTTACAAGCCCAGTTTTTCTAAGGTCTCCACTTTCTTTCATATTTTCTATTATTAAATGTAAAAATGTTGTGAAAGAAATAAATAAAATGAAACTTGAACCTTGAACAAATGAGGGGGCATAGCGATTAAAGTTGGAGAAAGGTCGGACAAACATTAAAGAGTTATGAGTTTGTTCAACTTCAAGTCGAGGAATTCTAAACTTAGAATGGTAATGAATACTCTGTCAACCTATTTTCTACATTGACTCTAGAATCACTTTTTAGAGGCAACACTAAAATATATATATATATATATATATATATAAAGAAACCTACACAAGACGATCAATGAGGTGCTCCCAGAGGGGGTAAACGAAGAGCGATTATCCATTCTTTTTAGAAAGTATTTGACCCATTTTTTTACGTAAAAAGTCCGACATATTTCTATAATAATTTTGTTCCTTACGACATGTTCATATATACTCCAGATGGTCCGACCACAAAGCAGATGACAACAACGACACAACCGACAACCACACCGATGGCAACAACGACACAACCGACAACCACACCGATGGCAACAACGACACCACCAAGTATGTTGGCACCTATGTCTAAACTAAGATACGATACGATACCTTTCGCAGGCTACGATGCGAAGTTCGTTTATGTCTGTACATTCGAGACACGGACAAAATACAAACAATTAACACCTGTCACAATCTCAAATCATTCAAAGCAAGTGCCATTGATGATCATACCAATAAATAAGGATAATTAGGGAGATTCACGGAGCCAAAGGGGGGGGGGGGGGGCTTCTGAAAAAAAGGGGATAAAATATTCTCGCTAAGCTGATCACCCTCCCCTGCCCCCCCCCCCCCCAGGTGGCCCAAAGAAACAAAGATTGTACATGTCCTTTACTAAAACTTTAGAAAAAAAAACGAATTCTACTACTATAGCCTACATTAAAAAACATTAAAACATGTACTTAGAGCAATCGTCGTTAATGAAAAATCCCCTATTTAGGAGTATAGGTGGACAGGGGAACTAAAGGGGGCCGGTACGGTACCCCCACCTGAAAAGAGGGATATTATTGCGAGGATTATTTTTTTCTTATCCCAGTTTCCCTACTTAGCTAATGTGGGATGGCGGGCAGGATTCCGTAAATTTATCAAGACCCCGCCCGCCAAGCGTTACTAGGAGGGAAAGCAGGAATTTACAAAATCTTACTCCCGGTGAAAGAAAAAAAGAAAGAAAGTAAACTTTTGCTCGTTTAATTTCTCACCCTTCTAGGACAATTGGAACATGTGTGTAAAAATCATTTCAAGCACCTGGACTGTACACCGGAAAATGTCGTCATCTGCAGCGCCTTTTACGGGCGGAATGACAGCACCATATGTCCAAGTGACGACGCCAATACCTCCAACATGTGTTTCGAAGATGTTACGGATCTCGTGCAAGGCAGATGGTGCAGAAACAAGCCAAGCTGCTATGTTCATGGGCGAGGTTATCTGCTTGACCACCCATGCCTTTCGAACCCTGAGGCCTACTTGCAAGTCACATACACATGTGGTGCTGGGCAATGTGGTAAGATACTTATAGACCGATTCAGTTTCCATGGTTTCTGAGAGCACTGTAATACCCTGTCTACCATAGCTGGGGGGCATCCAAGAGCATAACAAAATATGATTCAATGTATCAGACAGGTGCATGGCCGTCCTTAAACAAAAGCGGGCACATTTTAAAATATTATTCAGTGTATTTGATGGCTCCAGTAATGATGGTTAACACGTCCATGTTCACCTCTCTAAATAGATCGTAAAAATGCTCTTTTTAATAGCATTATAAACACGACAGCAATTCTGGGCCATGGGGTAGCTAAGTTATCCTTATTAAGAAATCAACCACGGGGGAGAAGTCACCTTGAGCACCAAACATCATCTGCGTAATTCACTTTCTGAAAGGCACCCTCAACGAGGATCAACTTGTGGATGTCCTAGCACCCACCAGGGAGAAAACTGTGAAACAGGTAACTTATATGTCAACGTTTTTCCCATTCATTTTGTATCAAGCTTTCAACAAATAGTTAAATTCAAATTAAAATACGTGTATATAGGACTTATTCTCTCTACTTTTCATCTTTTTTTTCTTCAGAGATTGATAGATAGATAGATAGATAATTTATTGGTGCATATTCAAAACATAAAAATTTGGCCTCCACCGGCAGCACATAACACAAAATACAAAGTTGTTACAAAATAATTGATGAGTCACATAATGTACATGAATTCAAACGAGATCATGACATTAACAAAAAGCACTGTATAAATTACATAGTAATAGGAAAAACTTATGAAAGAAGTCGACATTTAAAGATTAAGAAGAGAGAAAAAGGTCGTGAGGAGACTAGATTGAGGAGCAAAAATAGTAATAAGAGAGAGAGAGGGGAGAAAGGGGGAGAAAGACAGAAAAGGAGGGGAGAGAAAGAGGGAGAGATAGAAAGAGAGAGAGAGAGAGAGATAGGAACGAAAGGTGGACACGGTGGAGGAAGTAAAGGAGAGAAGAAGTTATAAATAGAGGGAGGGGAAAGAAAAGGAAAAGGAAGGGGGACGAGTGATGTAACACCATGTCAGAATGGAGGAACCTGCACTTTTGTTGATACTACTCGAACCTGGGGATGTCCTAGCACCCACCAGGGAGTAAACTGTGAAACAGGTAACTTATATGTAAACGTTTTTCCAATTCATTTTGTATGAAGCTTTCAACAAATAGTTAAATTCGATTTAAAATACGTGTATTTTCGGCTCATTCTTTCTACTTTTCATCACTTTTTATCTTCAGAGATTAACCTTTGTGATGTAACACCATGTCAGAATGGAGGAACCTGCACTTTTGTTGATAGTACTCGAACTTGTGAATGTCCTAGCACCCACCAGGGAGAAAACTGTGAAACAGGTAACTTATATGTAAACGTTTTTTCGATTCATTTTGTATCAAGCTTTCAACAAAAACTTAAAATTCGATTTCAAATACGTGTATTTTCGGCTCATTCTATCTACTTTTTATCACTTTTTTCTTCAGAGATTGACCTTTGTGATGTAACACCATGTCAGAATGGAGGAACCTGCACTTTTGTTGATAGTACTCGAACTTGTGAATGTCCTAGCACCCACCAGGGAGAAAACTGTGAAACAGGTAACTTATATGTCAACGTTTTTCCAATTCATTTTGTATCAAGCTTTCAACAAATAGTTAAATTCAAATTAAAATACGTGTATATGCGACTTATTCTCTCTACTTTTCATCTCTTTTTTTCTTCAGAGATTGACCTTTGTGATGTAACACCATGTCAGAATGGAGGAACCTGCACTTTTGTTGATGGTACTCGAACTTGTGAATGTCCTAGCACCCACCAGGGAGAAAACTGTGAAACAGGTAACTTATATGTAAACGTTTTTCCAATTCATTTCGTATCAAGCTTTCAACAAATAGTTAAATTCAAATTAAAATACGTGTATATGCGACTTATTCTCTCTACCTTTCATCTCTTTTTTTCTTCAGAGATTGACCTTTGTGATGTAACACCATGTCAGAATGGAGGAACCTGCACTTTTGTTGATAGTACTCGAACTTGTGAATGTCCTAGCACCCACCAGGGAGAAAACTGTGAAACAGGTAACTTATATGTCAACGTTTTTCCCATTCATTTCGTATCAAGCTTTCAACAAATAGTTAAATTCGATTTAAAATCTAGAGTAGTTGCTTGATACCCTTTAAAGGTACTATGTCCCATTTGCAAGCCAAACAAAATGAAAATGTGACTTAAAGGTAATAAAAAGTTTTGGGAAATTTTGAAAATTAGGTGGAGAGTGATTCTTTATAATTTTGATATGTTTGGATGCCCATGTGGATGTATTATATGCACTAGAAAATTTAGCCCCTAAAACACTTCTGCTTTCGAGAAAAATGGAATATAAAAATTTACCGGTGCTCCCGGTAAACTTTGATAAATTTCAAATAGCGCCTATGGCCGTATTATGGTAGCTGCGACCATGAAAATCTCAGAAAATGTAGTTGTGATATATAATTTCCAAACGGGAATAGCCAATCGGTCGATTTTTAGCCAGAAACATTGTTTTATAGCTTAATTAATATCTTAGCTTATTATTCACAATTTCATAACTTTAGACTCGATTTCAACCGCGACAACGATCACTGAATATTGTAGGATCGCATATGCTCCCGATATGTTCATTTGAACCAAATTCATGACCCTATACCAAAACTTTGTATTACCTTTAAGTGATACCAATACAGTATAGTAATAGTCTGATTTTCAGAGCATTGTACCGAATGGTCGTAAGTTTTGTGCTGCGCAAAGATTCAATCAGTTTGATTTAAGCCATTACAAGAAGTGGGTTATTGATGTAGACAAAATATGCTCATGTACCCTTTACAGCTCATTTTATGTATGTTATTAGTACATAATAATAATAATAATAATAATAATAGTGGGTTCTTGTATAGCGCTCATGTCCCATTTGCAGCCAACATCGAATTCTGTAGAATTTTGCAGCAATTATGAACATGTGACGCATGTCCTATCTGTGAAATTTAAACATTCAAGCATGTCCTTATATTTCAATTATGCAAGGAAACCCGTTAACTTTCTAGACCTCGCTGTCAGAATATTGAGTGACGGACTGATTTTTGTTTGTTTTGGTAATATAACATACATAAAATGATTTATTTTCCATTAATTATAATTTCTAAGTTCAGTGTCATATTTAGCTGTTGAATTTAAGAAGCAAAGTCATACTTATGTGGTCGTTTGTCTTTTTTTGATTATTCTTTGCAATATCTTTCAGCTGACACCATCCCTTCAGTTGTGACTCAGTGTCCTTCAAACTTTAATACGACTGTGCCCGTTGGCCAAACGATAACATTCGTTTCATGGAACATTCCATCAGGAATAGATGACTCCGGCACGAAGTATCAAGTCGTTCCTTCTCGCGGACCGGGTGTGTTCTTCCTAGGAATACATGATATTACGTACACGTTCACGGATCCAAGTGAAAATGAATGGTATTGCACGTTCAGAGTTATTGTAGTTCAACGTGAGTATCTTAAAACATCTTTACTTAGAATTCCATTCATTCATTGGAATCTCTTTAAGGGACTATGTCCCACTTGCAGCCAACATTAAATGATGTAGAACTTTGCAGGAATTATGAACGTGTCACGTATGTCTTATCTGTGAAATGTAAATGTTAGCAGTGTCCTAATATTCCAACTATGCAAGGAAACACCTTTACTTTCTTGACTTCACTGTCAGACACTATTGAGTGGCTGACCGACTTCTTTTTTTCTTTGGTAATAACTTACATAAATGAGCTGTAAAGGGTGCATGAGCATTTGTCTACATCAATAACCCAATTCTCGTAATGATGATGATGATGATGATGATGAACAGCATTTTTATGGCGCCATATATCTTTCAAACATTCAAAGGCGCGAGCTCCTCCAATAAACTGATTGAATTTTTACGTAGCACAAAACGTACGACCATTCGGTACAAGGGTCTGAAAATTAAGCTATTACTTTATTGATTGCCATCACGAAAGTCGATTCGACAACTAATGGTCGTTATTTTCCGGTTTAAAGACATTTTAAACCCCTTTTGTTTTGAGGGAAGTTGTAAATGCCGTTTGAATTTAACCTTTTCATTATTTTGTTGGCCTGCAAATGGGACATAGTACCTTTAAAGGGAAACTTGTCTTAAGTCTCTGCCTTTTTAGACCCTTAAAGGGATTGGGTATCTTTGTCTCAGATTCTGAAACGATAATTATAAACCTTTAGGTCAGTCAGGAACCCCATGAATTTTACAAGCCGATCGCCTGTCTATTTATCAAGATATTTATGATTGAAATCAAAATTTCAAGTCTTCAGTCTACTGGGGAAAAGGAGTATGGTAAAACCGGTCACTCAAAGATTTTACTTTTTGAGGCACTTCACGGTCATTTTGAAGCGCAAGTTTTTAGGGCTTCAATATTATACCATATTACAGACACTGATAATACGTAGGGCCGTGCATCTCGGATTTAACATGATAAACGATGACTTTAACAGAGAATTTATACGTTCTTCTACTTTTCGTCCTCTTATCCTCTCTTTCTTTTTGTCTTTCTTTTGATCATGTAGGCTGAGTTGATCCTGATGTTGCTGTCGTCCCTGGCCACGACGCAGGGTCCAGTAGTGATTACAATTTAATAATTGAGTAAATTAAGCAATATGAAACTGCACTAGGTAACCCAATGGTGACAACAAGGGAAATTCAACGTGCATGATAGTCGAATGGCATTATTTGTCTATAGTGTCATATAAGCATTACACAGACTTTCATAAGAAAACAGGGCATCTTTCAAGGCTCATTTATTATACAAATATACACTGCCTTGAGAGGTTCTGGTTGAAACTATGCGCAAGAGGTGACTCCAATAGTACTATTTGCTGAGGGGCGCAGCCCCGAAGCAAATGGTACTTTTGGAGTCCCCGAGGCCCATAGTTTAACCAGTACCTCGAATAGAAGGCATGGTATATTTGTTTTATATCCTGCATCAAAAATTTATTTAAAAAAAAAAATAATAATAAAAAAACATTTTTGGGAAGAAAAAAAATTTTGGAACAAAAAGAAATGTTAATTTTTATCTAAAAAGATTTAAAATATTTTGTATTCATTAAATCAAGATTTGAAAAAAAAAAATGATTCAATTCAAAAAAAAAAATTCACATTTTTTTTCAACTCCCAAATAGTAAACCAAAATAGTACTCTCATATAGTACTTTCTAAAAATAGCTCAAATATTTTTGGTCATGTGACGAGCTCTCAACCAATCAAAAGCCAACAAATTTTTGATGCAGGATATAATAATCATTATTTGTGTGTCCCAGATTGTAATATTTGAGCTCTCAACATGATTCTCCTTTGTTTTTAAAGCAGTCTAATCGTTTTCGCACAGCACATCACCAGAATAGCTTAAGGGCAATCCAACATGTGTGCTTTCATGCGTAACAGAGCAAATAATTATAAGGGAAACAGGATGGCAAAAGTTTGAAATTAATCGGGCAATTATTAAAAAGTTATGAATGTTTGAAATATGAAATCACTACATCTGTGCGAGTCTCAAGATGGCAATTACGGTAGGTGAATTGTGACGTAGTCACGGACAAATTGCTCGTCTGTCGGGAACAAAAACATCATTAATTTATGTTTTTGGCCTCCTAAGCACTTTCTCGGTTGGGGTACTACTCACAATCTATAATGGTTAGCATATTATCACAGGTCCTCTAAAAAGAATCATAATAATAATTACATTTGAGTATTTTTTTGCGTTGGAACGGATTGGACAGTTGTCCAGCACTACTATGCAAGTAATTTGAAGTATCCATACGTAAAGTGATTACAAATTCATAACTTTATTATTGTTGGTCCGATTTCGATCAGACTTTAACCAGTCTGTTTTTTACTCTTTTGCTTACACTCAGATTAATTTGCTATTAAGGATGGATTTTCGTTTAAAAGAGATTTATCTAAGGAATACATTTTGGTTTAAAAAAATGAATTTATAAAATGTTTAGCACATAATTTGAAGAAAAATAATCCTTTTGCAAAGTGGAATTTCCCTGCCTTGTCACTTACAGGCGTAAGGCCTGTTGCAGTCATTTCGGCGGGGAAATTGTAAATCATATGAATGTTTTGTAAGTCATATGAAATTTAGTCATAGCATATTTAATTTCCTTCATTACTGAATTTAAAAATGTAAATGGAACTATCGTGTATAAGGTGTTTAAGATCTCATAATAAGTTACGTCAAAAATCATTGACATTATCATTAATATTTTTATGTAAATTCAACAATTCATTTAGAAATCTGACCGTGAACGGCTTTACGTAATGTCAGCTTAGGTCATATGCCATTTCATTTTGTCTCTCTATATATAATCATTAAACTAAAAACATATGTGATCTTATTATGAAAGTTGAATAGAGTGAACATAAACTGTAATTCAGAACTAATGCCCTTTAAACAGTTATTAATTATTTCCTTTGAATCCCACATCGATATCACATTTGGTTCAATTACCTCAACCTATTTACACCCACATGTTCTAGTCTAAACATTATGACAGTAAAAATAAGTGATCTTTTGAATACCAGTAGCTGTTTCAATGCTGTGATAAAAACCAAAAGGGGTCTATTTAAGGTTTTTGAAGACTTTCGCTAATATGAACTCATTAAAATTCCCTGTTGTTTATGTTGGGTTTTTTAAAATCATTTTTCATATTCTTCTTCGACTTCTCATCATCATAGTCATCATCATTATCATTAACATTATAATTATTATTTTTGTTTTAGATACGTTCGCAGATACAGTTTTGGTGAACCCCTTACAATTAGTTTTTATAACGTGTATGTGTACATGCAGCAAGTGTAAAGAAAAGAAATCCATACTGAATACATTGTACCTTTCCCCCATTAGGATACAAAATCTACATGTATCATGTGGCGTCAATTTGACCAATCATGTTGCAAGATTCTGGTATGTGGAAAGTGTATATGATAGTTATTAGGATTGGAAGACGTCCACATAAAAATATATTTATAATTATATACATGGATATTCCGATAGTTGCATACGTGCTATCCCCTCTATGATAAAAGTTGACTGAATTCCACTTGTTACAATTTTTCTTCTTCTTCCAGTGTAAGTGCTGCTTCAAGGTGATGAAGATAAACGCCCTGATTGTGTGTGTATATGTGGAGACTTTCACATATCCTGTTATTCCATAATTTAATTTGTGTTCTTGTTGTGCAGGTGTAAGTAAAAAAAAAAAAATTAAAAAAAAATTAAATTAAAAAAAAAAAATCTTCAATATGTCTATGTATAATCGGATTTATTTGAAATATATCATTATTTTTCTTCTATGATTACTGTATTTTATTTAGTACTGTAGTAAATATATCGGCTTCAATGCACTAAATGTAAAAGTATTCATCGTACGCATATTTCATAAGCTCTAAGTTTTCAAACGGTCTAAATGAATCAGCTTTTCCTCCTTAATGGAGTAACAATTATTTGTTTATTTTGTACACTTTTGAAGTAAAAAAAAAACAAACTTGTTAAGTTAACTTTGTGAATGAACATGTTTAGTGAAATAAATAAACGGGAGATTGACATTTGGACGGAAAGAAAATGGCAAATTTCAACCTGCGTTGCCAATTTAGAGACTTTTCAGTGATCATAATGATTACTTTCGATTAAATATCTGAACGTCACAATATACGGCAACAGGAAGGGACTAAAATTTCACAGGTATTTTTGAACATTCGGATGCTATTTCAGAGCATTCGGCTTGGACAAAAATATTAAAATGACCTTACTTGAGTTATTAGCATCAGATTCGTGACAATATGGGTGCAATGGGGACGACATTTTTTAATGTTGAATAATAAGAATGGATAAGTCGGTGATATTTGAGAAATAAGGGCACATGTGAGAAGGAAATCCATTCTCAAATCACACAATACATTAATGTATTTGCCCCCCAAATTTGTATTTCCCAGAATCTGTTATATGTGTTCTTTCTTGTATTTTACTAGATAGCTGACGCAATATTACTGCGTTGTATTAGTATTTTTTAATTTTTATATTAAGAATTCACTTAAGTAAAATGAACGATCGTGTATTCTATGGAAACAATTGTGTCTCGTTAAAAACATTTTAACTGTCTAGTGCTTAACGAGGTGAAAGGGGTAATATAAAAGAATACTGAACTTGAACTAAATGAATTATTGATGACGAAAGCAAAAGTAGAAGGGTACTATTAATACGATATCTCTTAATGAAAGATGATTAGAAATATAATTTCCTTGTGATAAGGCCTATTGTTCATTTATCAAATTTGGAATATGTAACAAATTATGTAGATACATTATGGAAGAAGTCTTCATGAATCAAAATAAATTATGTATCCTCGTTTGTAATTTTGGAGAAGAAATACAATTTACCTCTTCCATCTTATAGAAATGAATATAATACCTGCTAAAAATCGTTAATGTCACACTGTGTTGTTTTAGCCCTACTGCACTACGTATAGCTGATTGCGCTCTCTATATAGCAAACAATGCCTAGACGATGACCATTGGTCCCCATGGTCCCCTTTTTCTTATATATGCTAATTGAGAGCTGATTTGATGAGATAACCACCTGTCAGTGACCATGCAGGGAGGTATAATGCCTCCTGGCCACACTAGTGCAGATAGTCTTTGAAGAAATTGTCTTAGTGTTCTCAATAACAATAAATTTAACTCGTAGTTGAAGTACATATACGTCTCTGCTGTTTTTATTCCTAGTCTCTTTGGTCGTTATTCTATTTACATAGGAAATATATATATATTAATATATAAACCGTCCGTAAACTATAATCATAATATTTAGTAAAGGTTATATTTAATACCGACTCTACAAATCCTACACAATCTATGTGGTTCTGGTCTTAACCATGACGTAAGCAATTTAATTTTGACACAAGTAAAGAAACAAACAAGTATTTGTGAGCAAATTATAAGGCCTATGTTAAAGAGTTTGTAATAAAAATGACGGAAAGGATTAAAGAAGAGAGAGACGGAGTGGAAAGACAATATGAGTCGGATTATCTTTCTTTGAAAGGATAAACACGGCCATGACGGTAGACCGTAGATTGAGGGTCTGCTCGTTATTCATAAGGAAAGCTATTCATGACGCGGAACTTCCCATACCTGGAGGACCGCTATTCATAAAAACGAAAAGGGGGTCATTATTCATAAAGAAATAAGACTGTTATTGTGGGATGGGGTCGCTGTTCATAAATTGAGGGTCATTACTCCTAAGGACCGCTATTCATAATACGAAATCGGGGTCGCTATTCATAGGCTACGACATAAAGAAGGGGCGCTATTCATTAATTACATTGGGGGTCACTACTCACTAGGCGTTGTAGCGTGCGCCTGTAATTCAGCTAAAAAGTGGAAGTTACAAATTGATTCAGCCGAGCACGCAGGTTCGAAACTGAGTCACGTCTTTCGGATGGTGACGTTTAAAGGTCGGTCCCCAGATGTAAATAATCATATCTGATTGATATACGTCTGTAAAAACCCACACACACACACACACACACACACACATAAGGATCGCTAGTCATAATACGAATGAGGCTCTATTCATAAGACGAGAAAAGGGTCGCTATGTTAATAAAACGAGGAGAGGGTCGCTATTCATAATACGAAATGAGGTTCGCTATTCATAATACGAGGAGAGGGTCATTATTCATAATACGACGAAGGGGTCACTATTCATAAAAGAAGAAGAGGGTTGCTATTTAGACTCGAAGAAGAGGGTCGCTGTTCGTAATAAGAAATGAGGGTCGCTATTCAATACGAAATGAGGGTCGCTGTTCATA